AATTGTCAGTATCACAACCCATATTTTAGAGAACAAACATTTAAAAAAATTTTAAAAGCCACTGTTGTAACTTTACATGAAGGCGAAAACTTGTGAGCTCAGTCCCAGCAGATGAAATAGTGCATTAAAATTGACAAGTGCCCAATAGAGGCGCATCTGAGGCTACATCCCTTCTATTAAAATAAGCATTCAAGCACTCCAGTCTGGATCTGAATGGTGCTTTGAGAACTATGAGGTGAGTGCTTTTCACCCACCTCATAGTTCTAGCCGACCTGTGACAATGAGACTGTCACAGGTCGGCTCAGTATATCAGGTAGTGAGCTAACATACCGGCGTTCGCTCACTTCTCGATCTTATCACGGCACAGAGCCGGGACAGGGGAGGGACTGGATTCCCCCTGCCCGTTTCGATCCTCCAGCGCTAGCTGGCGGAATGGACGGGGGAGGGGGCGGGTACAGCTGGCTCTGTATCTAGATAGGCAGAGCCCGCTGTCACTCACGCAGCTGGGCAGATCCAGACATAATTGTCAGGATCCGTTCAGCTGCGGCGTCTCTATACCGCGAGCTACAGCTCGCAGTATACTGAGCTTAGGGTGGTGGGAGGACACTAGTTTGTGTCCTCCCATTAGGAGAACTATGGGGAAAAGCCCTAACCCCATAGTTCTCCTTTAACTTTGCTGCCACACAGGAGCCAACAAGCCCTTGTGATGGCATTTGGTTCTCATTTTTTGAACCTTGTGAGAGATCCAGCCCTGCTCATACCCCTACAGTGTGCATGCCCATGGAGAGACCCGCTCCGTTCAATTGCGTGCAGCCGTCTCTACTTCCCTATGGGAGGATGTGGCTGCACGCCGGATAGTTTGTGTCCTCCCGTTACCCTTGGGGGAAAAGTCCCGACCCCATAGTTCTCCCTTAAAGCGCCGTTTGAATTCCTCATCCTGCACATAATGCTCTACTTGCCTAAGAAATGGTGCTTTAAGCAGTGATCATGTGACCTAGTTTTTAGTTCTACTTTAGTCCCACCATCATTTTCAGCAAGAGGAGGTGCTCGAATGACAGGATAAAAGGATAAGCTGTGCTTGGACCTGGTAAGGGGGGGCTCTGATCACCTTGATGGCATTTTTGCAGCCAACACCAAGTTGTCCTTTTGGGACCAAAAAACAGATGCAAGGCACTATACCCATAATGCTGACTATGCTGGTACTCAAGGACCTCAGGGGCAACTGCTTGGATAAGAGGTTTCTTCCTAGACAGCTATCTAACCAGTGTACATGATATTGGAAAGACCCTGAGACAGCAGAGCCTACCTGTGCACCATTGCACGCATCAATATTTCCAGCTGTTTTACACCATTAGCTTTAGGAAACCACCATGTTATTGCATCACAAAATTGTTGTTTCAGGCACAGTTCTTGTGCAGAAGGTTCCTGCATGACACATTTGAGGTCTAGATGCAGTGACTATGATACAGTAACCAAACGTACACAGACTACCATTTTAATGCATTCTCTCTATGTAGAGAATATCTCCCAACTGAAAGACTGAAGAACTTCTAGGGCCGCTCCAGTCCTCTGCAAGTATAAAAAAAATTAGCAAGTCCCAACTGCCTCCCATCCCCCTCCCACCTTCCTCATTCAACTCACCAGCCATCAAGCGCAAAGAAAAGGACAGCCTCTCTTCTGAGGACACTGTGGTGCTGAATGGAAGCCATGTTGGCGTAATGGCCTTGCTGCTCACATTACCATGCCTATACAGGGAACAGAAGTGTCAGTAATGAGTCATGAACTATAATCATGGAATTTCACAGTAACCTTTGCATTTTAAAAGGAAAGTACTATGTTGAAGGGAAAAAAATGGTTAATCAGTATGGTAGCCACCATTGTTTACTTGGTTGCAAGCATACATTTTCAATCAGTTAACTGACATGAGGCTAGCATGAATAATGGCAGTCTTTACTGGCTACATTCTTGTTGCACGACAAGGACTCAGAACATACCTGAAGCCTGTACCCTCTAAATTTGAGTATGCATAGCAGCTACAATATTTTCCCCAGGGTGGTTTTAAGACTAGTATTGACAGCATGATGACTCCTGCACTACTAAAAGGACAGAGATATTCCAGATGTTAAGGATGTTAGGTCCAACTCTTGTCCATGAGGCCGTCTAAAGCCATAAAGAGACTCATAGGAATCCCACCACTGTGAAAGCTAATCCTCCTAGTTTTTCCTAGCAACAGATATTGTTGATCACTGCAGCAGAAAAGCTAGGTTGTAGATACAGGCTACAAGTCGATAGATTGAGTCAATAGTTGAAGCATACCCAAGTCAAAACATTAGGGCCAGTTTAGACTTTAGTACCAAAACAGGTTGCCAACACATCCCAGCCAACAAAAAAAAAAAAAGACGTAGGCCAAGCACATCTGCATTATTGTGCACTGCCTGCACAGAGTTAGTTAGCGGGGTCCTCATTCAGAATGAAGGGCTATGGTATTTGCATTGGGGCAACCCAAATTCATGATCTTACCACAAACTTAGATGGGCTGCAAGTTTAAGTAGAGAATGTTAGAACCTCTGCCATTTGTCAGTGTTTTTGATGGGATTAGTAGAGACTCACTAGGCCTGAGTGGGGGAAAGCTATTAACCCAAGTTGTCACCAGAAGAGGCATGGATGCATTTTCCTAATGGGCACTCGTTCCAGTGACATCAAGGGGGGGATATACCTCATTGGAAAGTACCCACTTGTGTTCAGAGCAGGATGAGAAAGGACTCTTGAATGGGAGAGATGGCAGAAAACCTGACTGGGGTTTTAACTATCCCCTTCTTTTGCCAAATGTTTAGCCCAAAATATTGACTAGCAAGAATGCAATGCTGGTAGATCTGCCCTAGTGTAGACTCACCGATAGTAGTAGCACATTATGGGGACCACAGCTGGGTTGGTTCTGACGATTGGAATGGAGGAGGTTGGGCTGTAGGTCAGGCTTGAAATGTAGACCACCCAATCTTGAGACATCTATGCACAGAAAAGTAGAATGTTATATTGATTTACACATCTTATTACATGCAAGAAAATTTTGAAGATCCCCATCACCAAATTAAAAAACCACCCAGGTAAAGCTTTGAAAATTGTAATACTCCGATCCCTCCCTACATAACTTTTTATGTTGCTGCTGGGGGAGGAGTGAAAGAGAATACTATGGACTGTATTTTAAGCGATAGCTGGAAGTCAAGCAGATGCGGCTGACATATCCAAGATGGCAGCATCCAGCAGCAGTCTAGGGCTTTTGGATGTTGATACTAGTGATAGGCCGAACACCCATGTTCAGTTCAAATACAAAACATGCGAAAAAGTTTCCAGGGTCGCCCCTTAAAGACCACCTTATACCCATGCCGATGGGAACAAGGGCCTCTTCCCCACAATCCCTGGGCCTTTGTTGTGGGTGGGGGGCTTATTCCTCCCCACAAATTCACTAAAGGGTTAAAAAAAATTAAAATTAATCCACCAACCTAATCCAGGGTCAATCACGACGGGTTGACGAAATAAGACGAACACCCGCCGCTGAATGGCATTTTGACAGATGCCGGCAACACAATTGGGCAGAGCTGGCTCTGTTCTGTGCCCTGATTTGGCAAAGTCTTACACCTGAGCTATGGTCAGGTGCAACGCTTTAGAAAGTGCTTGCCTGCCGAACGCCCTGTTAGTGTGCATGGCGAACACACAAACTGGCGATGTTAGAGTTGAACATAGAGCTCATACCTAGTCTGTACAAGAGAAGCTTCTACAGGTAAACATTCCAAAGAGGTTACATAGATCTTGCACATAGATCTTATGCTGAAAAGTAAGGCAACAGGTTCTCATTAAGACAGCTAGCAATGGGCAAAGATAAAACAATACCCCATACATGTCTGAAAGCCATGGTTCATAAACCACCAGACTGAAATCTAGCAAAATATTGCCCTCAGATACTACCTTTCCTGCTCCCCACTTTAACAGTGCTCACAGGATCCTCTTCATCCAATAATCTGGTGGTTGCCATGTTAGAAGACCTTCTGATTTCTTGTCCCACCCAACCTGGATTGCTAATCTTTGATCTCCAAGAGCTATGGGGCCCAAAGATCAGAGTGCAGGTAACCACTCTTGCCAGTTAGGACTCTGATGCCATGGATTAGGGCTGCTCAATACAATGACAGCGATTTAGTTCTGCAGTGGAGCATTCCTGTAACAGGAGCTATTAACAGCCACAGCTGGCTGCCTAGGTCTACATTACAAGATCTCAGTGCTTCATCTAAATACATAACCAACAAGAGGATCACCACATGATCTAAAAAGCCTGCGAGTGGGTCAGCCACCATGATAGTAAATGCTGAGGGACTGCAGTGACCTGAGCAGAAGACAGAACAAGAGTCAGTAACCCCACAACCTGCACGGTTTAACACATTTGAAAACACTAGCCCCTTTTTGCTCTCCATGAGCTATGGTGCCCAGCTGTGATCAGCAGTGCAGGTAACCACTCTTGCCAGTTAGGACTTTGATGCCATGGATCGGGGCTGCTCAATACAATGACAGCAATTTAGTTCTGTAATTTGGAACATTCCTGCAACAGGAGCTGGCTGCCTAGATCTGCAATTGCAAAGCAATTGTATTGTGGTTTTATACATGTTCCGTTATGGTCTGGGAAGTATAAGCATATTCCCCATTTCTAGTCCCTTCAGAGAACCAGGGCAGAATTCAGGAACAAGGCAGTGGGCAAACATGAAGCAGGTCTAGGCTCATCTGAATGAACATCAGATACAGTCTTTTAAGCCCTACAAAGTGCAGTAACCCATAGGGACCAGGTTTCAGTTTGCTAAACACAAGAAAACAGGCAGAAAAGATACTTTGCTCCTTTAATCTATATAGAAATAGGGGGGGGGTTAAGCTCCAGTTGTTGCTATAGGGATCACCAACGTTACTGAAATACATACAACTTTAAAGGAAGGATTTGAAGTGCAAATGTAGAACGTTACCTGCACAGTGTTACCACACTCCTGGAGGCTAATCTGGAAGATGACCATGTTGTCGGTACTTTCGGTGCTGGGCTTGCATAGTTGGGCTCCCAGGCTCAGATCAGAAGGTTTCACTAGCTTTCCATTCCCATACAAATCCCTCTGGACACTGACCTCCATGGTGTCCTCTCCACACTGGACACTGACAGGAGAACTTACAGTCTGCTGTTGCTGTCGGAGCATCCCACCTGGACGTCCAGCAGATAAACCCCACTGAGCTCCAGCTCTGGAAGCCCCAAACCCAAGCACAGGCTCATTACTGCCCCGATAAAGCTCTCTGGAGCCCCATCTAGAAGGAACCTGGGCAGGCACAGGCCGCTGGTAGTTCCTCCACCAATCTGACTGGCGACTATGTCTAGCTAAGACATCATCTCCAGCACAGCCAAACCCTGGCCCATAAACCAGTGCAAGCAGCAACAACCAACTACAGCAGCTCCTCATCCTTAAGCCCATCCTGTCTGCAAGGGGAACAGCATAAGGAGAGACTTAGAGAGAGTTACCATTTATACCCCTCCCAGCAGCCACTAATACCCTCACCTGGGGCAGATCATTACCACACCCAGATGGCTGGTCCATTCAGCATTAAGCTGGCCATACACCTATAGATTATCTGGAGATTTTGATTGCGTTTTTGTCCAAAAATCTGCCAGTTGATGGGAAGTGCACAACCTCAATTACTTGCATCTTGAGAATAAAAATCTCAAAATGCAAACTGCACATGACATGCTCAAACGAAAATCTGTCCTTTCGATCGATGAAAATCAGACAGGTGGTAGCTTAATCCTGTTACTAAAACTGTTCATTTAAGTGGGGGCCTTAATGGAAAAAACATTAACATGCAAACGTCTCCTGTGTAGCTCTAGTCCAGGGGTTTCCAAACGTTTCAGTACAAGGGCCACATTGTATATTTTACAACTATTCATGGGGAAACAAGTATCATTTTTATTAATGAATAAATAAAAAGTACAAAAATGCATAATCATCTCTTACATCTAAGAATGCCCAGCAGAGCACCCCCGCATACACTGCCAGCCGCTGTGGGCCAGATAATATCTTGTAGCATGCCACATGTGGCCCACGGGTCGTAGTTTGGAGAAGCCAGCTCTAGTCTTAGGGCCCTTTTACATTGTTTTGTACTTGTTTCAGAGCCTTTTGCAACAATGTGTTGTATGCTTTATGGGATGCAGACCCAACTATTTCCACAACATGGGCAGCACAGTGGTGCAGTGGTTAGCACTTCTGCCTTGCAATGTTGGACTGGGCTGGGTGTCCCTGGTTCAAATCCCTGTGCTTGCATGGGTTTCCTCCAGGTACTCTGGTTTCCTCCCACACTCCAAAGACATGCTGGAAGGTTGATTGGCTCCTGTCTAAATTGCCCCTTGTATGGATGCATGCAAGATAGGGACCATAAATTGTAAGCTCCTCAGGGATTGATGTAAATGTGCACTATGTAAATTGTCAGCACTATATAAATACCTGTAATAATAATAACTAAACTCAACAGGAAACACCTAAGTTGCAAAGAAAATTGCCATGTGTCTTCTGGTCCATTGACACGTATCTAGGGCCCATTGAGAATGTATTCAGACCGTGCAATGGGTGTCATAATGCATGTGCACTAATGTTGGGGGAACTCAGATGAGCTGGGAACTTGCACAAAACCATTGCACATCCTTAGTATCAACACATGCGACATGTGAATGAGCTCTTTGCATTACCATTCATTTCCATGGACCCCAGGACGCACATTGATCCAGTAACATACATGCTGTGCTCTCTGAATGAGCTCTGGGAGCCACTTAGGTCTTGATGGCTTATTTATTATTACTTAAAGTCAGTCCATGCAAAAGTGAAGTTTTGTGTGTCACATTCTCAGGAAGGTAAAAAACAAACAAACATTGGCCCAGGGATGATGAGAACCTCTTATAATGGCCACAGCGGGTGTACAGACCCGGAAACTCCGCTCATGGATGGTGGGAACCTCTCATAATGGGCACAGCAGGTATTTAGAGTCAGAAACTTAGTATGGGGATGGTGGAAACCATCCATAATGGGCACAGCAGGTGTTCAGACCTGGAAACTCAGTGCAGGGATGGTGGGAGCTTCCTATAATAGGCACATCAGGTGTACAGACTCAGGAATTCAATGCAGAGATGGTGGGACCCCCTTATAATGGGCACAGCACCAACCTCCCACCGACATCAATGATGGGCTTTTATCATCCCACTGACACCAACAATGAGGCTTATGTTAATACTGTCATCAACCATAGGATTTATTTTACTCACACTTCCTCTACAGTGTACCCCCAGCTGAGAGGCAAAGATCCTACACTGCAAACCATATATCATGAAACTACCCCCCACTTTAATGGCCACACCACTTTTGCGTGCATCCCATGGGTCCTGGCGGGTGGTGACATTTTTCTTCTCTGACCCTTCAATGGTGTCCTTCTAATTATCCTGCACTCTATGTGTCCCTTCCTTCAGGGTGTCCCTTATAATTATTTCCCTGCACCCCATGTGTCCCTTCCTTCAAGGTGTCCCTTATAATTATTTCCCTGCACCCAATGTGTCCCTTCCTTCAGGGTGTCCCTTATAATTATTTGCCTGCACTCAATGTGTCCCTTCCTTCAATGTGTCCCTCATAGTTATTTCCCTGGGCCCCATGTGTCCCTTCCCTCAATATGTCCCTCGTAGTTATTTCCCTGCACCCCATGTGTCCTTTTCTTCAAGGTATCCCTCATAATCATTTCCCAATTTTGGCAATTGTGTTCAACATGAATTGGTCACCTATACTCAATGCGTGGTAAACTGTGAAATATCGCACGTTGGCATGCGTGTGGTGAGACCCTTCAACATATCAGAGCACTCTGATTGGGGCCAGAGGCTTTTGGGTGTAGTAGGTGTGACGTACACCCGGCCCAAACCCGCTGTACGTCAATCCCACGTGACCATACACAAGTCTGAACCGAGCGTGAGCGCCACAAGGACGTGGCGATACCACTCTCAGCCTCACCCTGCACAGAGATTTCCCAGCTCGCAGGACACAATCTCAGACCAGCAGACTGAGAGCGATCGTCACTAGGGTTGGTTAACTCCGCAGTTAACCCTTTACCCACAAACTTCCACTGCCACCATGTGTTTTTCGGAACACAAACCGCGCCCAGCAAATGCTGCGACTATTCAAAACACTTAAATAATGCCTGTGATGCTGCTGTCCTTTCAGACAGGAATATGACAGGAGTCACTATACAGTAGCGCTCTTCAGAGAGCAAGGATACTTTAAGTTCGTATTTAGAGCATAGAGATAAGCTTAACGATTTTTAAGATCGTCCTTTAATAAAAGAAACATACAGACAAAGATTTAATAAAAAGAGACACAATATATATACAACAGCAAAATAAAAGGGAATAAAAGAAGAATACTCAACAGTCCTGGAATTGTGAGTTCTGACAGAGTTCAGAGTTCAAGAAGCAAAGTGGAAGTCTGCCGGGCTCTCCTTCAAGCCGACTTCCAGCAGATAATGTCCAAAGATTAAAGAGGAACTCTTCTGCGATGTTCAGACTTCTAGTTCCTCGATGATGTTTAAAACCAAGAGCCACTCTAGTTGCCAAAACAGAATATTTTATAAGCCCCTCTTAGGGGGTGTCCCGAAGCCAGCCCCTAGGCAGGGTTGGGGTGGGAAAGCAGGCGGAGGATGAACCTTTAGTTTACCTATCTCCGCCCAACTCCAAATTAATAAATGTAACTTGCTTTTCCAACTCAGGTTTTATGACTTTTAGAGAGAATGCGAGGTCACCCCCTCTCCAGACCTGATTGTTGATATAAATTGTGCACTCGTAATATATGGAGGGCCTCGTGCCATGCCTTTAATTACGACAGCCATAAAAGGCTTAGCAGAGATATGTTTGAATTTCACTCGGACTGGGCAATACAAGATCACAGCCAGAGAGCATCTCTTCTGTGGAATGTGGAGGGACCTGTCAGTTCTAAATGAAGACCTGCAGGTGCTCTAACTGGGGAATCAAACAAATTCTATTCTGCAATATTCATTCCCAAATCCCCCATCATCATCATCACAGTAGGGACACTGTACTTCCAAAAAACAGACATGCAAAAGGACAGGCAGCATTTTGCATCTGCTTGGGGTAAAATGAAAGGGCGTTGTTCTGCTCTGCTTAGATGTGCTGGAGCGCCATTCAAAATTCAGAGCATGTAGGCTGTGCCAGCTTGCACTACAATGAGAAGATGTAGCATAAGGGGCATAACTAGAAATCAAAGGGCCCCATAGCAACATTTTGTATAGTGAAACACATGAAGGAGGATTTGGCGCAGTAAGTGAAGGTAAAGGAAAGTTTGTTTCTTATATGAGGCTTATGCATCACCGTATCACAGTAGCTGGATTTGGTACTTGTTTAGATTGTCATACAGGAGCTCTTAGTTGTAATTTAGGTGATGTGGAAGGGTACCAGCACTATATAAATGATATATCAACTACATATTTATACTACAAGTATACATTATTTGTATCTAATATTTACATATATATATATATA